CCCCAAAGAATCAACGAACTCCACGAAACGAAAGGAAGATCTACTGGATATTAATTAAATTATAAATATATCAATTCATTTGAATATGACTGAAAGTTTTAATTTTTTCTGAAAAGGTGGTGTCTATTTACTTGTGACCACTCAGTGGATTGTTAGGCACTTAATATGGTGAATATAACTGCTCTATAAAGATAGTAAAGTTATAAAAAGTATATTGTAGAATGTGATTTATCAATAATGAATAACAGGAAAATAATTGCGACTAGTCCATATTTGTTATATTGTTGTAGAATATATTTCATAGGTGATATCTGGATTAATCCACACAGACTCTGCTTAGGCTACTCACTATGAACTGTTGGCATCCAAGTGAACTATATCGTTTGTACTGTGTAACGCCTTATTTAAAGAGAAAATTATGACCAGTAATATTTACGTGAATACTGTTTCGTTATAGTAAATCAAACTTGGTAAATGACTGTTAAGTGTTTCTAGGTGTTGATGATTGGAAATTATTTTCGTCGAGGTGTCTCTAGCTCGATGGTAGAAGTGGATGTATTACTCGTAACTCGAAACTGTGCTACAGATGATGGCGAAATTCATGTGTGAAGATTTCAACAAACCCTGGGATGTCGTTTGTTGTTAACTTGTGGTTAGGATAATCTTACAGCTTTCTGTCGAATAATGTCATAAAACTTTCATACTTGAAGAATGAAAAAGACAAATTTATACGTTTTTTGATACCATGTGTTTTAGTCATTTTTGTTATGGACATAGTCGAATAGGCAGGTTGAAGTTTCTGTATTTACAGTTGTTTTTTTTTGTGATCTCGCAGGAAACCATGGAGAACGCCCTCCACGCCCGAGACCGGGCGGGTGTTCAGGATTTTGTGCTGCTTGAAGATTACAGGAACGAGGAAAGTTTCATAGGAAACTTAAGAAAAAGATTCAAAGAGAATCATATTTATGTAAGTAAATGCGTAAAAGTATATCCTTGAAAACATATTTTAACATGCATAATTAGATGTTTGAACGAGAATTAATTTGAAACATTAAAAAATCACCAGTGACTCTTTTATTCCATTGAAGTCGTGTTAGATAACGCTGTTTTGATTTTCTTTTCACTTTTATACGCACGGTTATTTGACGAATACTGAAACACAGAAATTGGATAAATATTTTGACAAAATTTGATCAATGTACTGACCCTCTGATCATGCTTTCTTGTCCGTACAGTATTTGATCAAAGGATTGTCTTTCTCATTTTGTTCCCTTTTCAAAACATTTGATCAAGATACCGACCCATTTATTATGCTTTCTTGTTCAAATGACAATTAATCAAGGTAATGACTACTGACCCACTAATTCTAATACTTTCTTGTCCGGGTAATATTTTATTGAGATACTGACCTACTGATTCTCATGCTTTTATTTTCAGGTAATATTTGGTCAAGGTATCGAACCTCTAATCACGCATTTTTGTCCAAATAACATTTGATGAAAGTACTGACGTATTTATGTTTCTTTGTCCAGATAAGGACTGACGAAGAGCTTTCGTGGGCGCTGGGGAAGGATTAGTGCGTGGAGTTCCCTCTCAATGAATTTTCTCCCTTTTTCTGAAACAATGAAAAAAAAGTCGACGTACACCGTAATGCACTCATCCGACTTTAAAGTAAAATCATCAGCCAGTTAGAAAACAATATTATGACATTTGAACATTGCGATCACTTTATGGTGAAACAAAATATGATAAAAACAAAAAATTGAATCATGTAGTTAAAGCTCAACAGATTACAGTATTTATTTTACAGTTACGTATCGTTTCCCAGTGGGTTTATAATGCTGTAATCTGTTGTTTTGAAACTTACGATTGAATATGTATTCTTATTTTAAGATTATGCATCATTAGTCACACTCAGCATTGGTTTTATTTAGATCTCCGTGATATTAACTCAAAATGCAATTACTTTCATATTGTTATCTCTCTATAATAAACCTATTGCAAAAAGGATTCAATAGTGCTTATAAGGATTGATAAGATATAAGAAAATGTGAACAGAATTAATCTAATGATATCCTGTTGATTATAACGCTATCAATACATATAAATGGAAAGTTTATTTGTTTGTTATGTATTTCGCGCAAAGCTATACGAGAGTTATCTGTGCTAGCCGTCCCTAATTTAGCAGTGTGAGACTAGAGGGAAGGGAGCTAGTCATCACCACCCACCGCCAACTCTTGGGCTACTCTTTTACCAACGAATAATGGGATTGACCGTCACATAATAATGCCCCCACTGCTGAAAGAGCGAGCATGTTTGGTGGGACGGGAATTCGAACCCGCAGATTGCGAGTGAAGCACCCCTAACCATTTGTCACATTATAACGCCCTCACGGCTGAAGGGGCGAACATGTTTGGTGGAACGGGGATTCGAACCCTCGACCCGCAGATTGCGAGTCGATCGCCCTAACCACCTGGCCATGTCGGGCCTACCGTGGAAAGATATAGAAATATATATTATAATATTATACTGTAAGAGTCTTAACGTTGCAGAAACACAGGGATGTGGGCTGATGATACAGTAATAACTGGTATAATAGTATTATACCAGTTATTACTGTAACGTCAGCCCACATCCCGTGTTTTATTTTACTATTATACCAGTTATTACTGTAACGTCAGCCCACATCCCGTGTTTTATTTTACTATTATACCAGTTATTACTGTAACGTCAGCCCACATCCCGTGTTTTATTTTATTAATTACATAGCTTTGTTGCAGTTATGTTTGGTCAATTTTGATAATAAGATGATGTTAATTTGTTTTTTACTGTTTGGTATTGATTAACTAGAGTTTTATTTGCCTTCTCCCCGACTTAGGAAAGTTTACACAACCTCTCCACTTCGTCGGTGAGCTGACCATGGTACTGAATAATAATAATGCTACCTTATCCAGATAACACCTGACCATGGTACTGAATAATAATAATACTACCTTATCCAGATAACACCTGACCATCGTACTGAATAATAATAATGCTACCTTATCCAGATAACACCTGACCATGGTACTGAATAATAATAATAATGCTACCTTATTCAGTAACACCTGACCATCGTACTGAATAACAATAATGCTACCTTATCCAGATAACACCTGACCATGGTACTGAATAACAATAATAATGCTACCTTATCCAGATAACACCTGACCATGATACTGAATAATAATAATGCTACATTATCCAGATAACACCTGACCATGATACCGAATAATAATAATAATGCTACATTATCCAGATAACACCTGACCATGATACTGAATAATAATAATGCTACATTATCCAGATAACATCTGACCATAGTACTAAATGATAATAATAATAATGCTACCTTATCCAGATAACACCTGACCATGGTACTGAATAATAACACTTTTCAATCGACCGTCATTCTTTCACTTCTCGGCGGTGGGGTTCTACCTTGGCCCAATACGCCCATATCACTTTCATCATTTTTTAATTTATGCCTTTTTAAGGATATTATGGCGTCAAAGATAAAATAACTCAAAAGTATATTTTGGGTTTCTGTGCAGTCATATTTACAGCAAACAAGATGAAAATTGGCACAAATATAAATTTACATGCGCCCAACGCATTGACATACTAAAAAGTTACATTAGCCTATTTTGAGTCTTTTTAGGGGGGGTCATAGCTCACAAAAAAGCATAATTTTGGGGGGTTTGATCAATTACTCGGTCGCATTTTGACCAATTTACATGAAATTTGTTACAAAGGTATTTTTCAACATGTCCCACACATTGACAAACAAAAATGGCGGGCTTGCCCATTTATAGTAATTATAGGGGGGTCAAGATGCCACAAAAAGCATAATCTTAGGGTTTTTGACTATAACTCCGCCGTATTTTGGCCAATTTACATGGGATTTGGTATACAAATATACTTTTTTATAGGCCCCAAACAAAGATTCAGACAATTTTGGAATTTTTGTCTTTTGCTCAATTTTTCAACGAGGAAAACACAATTTGAGGTTTCCGTGAACTATTCATGTGTATGCTAATCAACTTAATGGGATTTGGTACAAAGATACCTTCTTGCAAGTCCTGAGTAGTGATGTAGGCAGTTTTCGGTTTTTCTGTGTTTTTCACGATTTTAATGGTGTTAAAATTGGCCATGCTGGGATCGCGTGACGGAGACATGTTGCATTCACCCGCGAAAGTTGGCCTCTTTAATTATTAATTGTTATTGTAGATGTGTAGTAACTCTTCTGGTAGAAAATATTGCGTCATTATAGGAACATTGGCGAAACAGTATGTTCGAAATTTGATTCTCGAATTATTTTGATGTAATGCTCATACAAATATTATTTCAAAATGCTACCAAACATTTGAAAAATCAATATAGGCCAAATCACAACGTTTGTTGTTCACGCACGCATCCGAAGAATTGGTAAAAACCGCCAAGATTGTAATTTTTAACCAGTTTCACTCAGTAAATATGACAACGATTCGATTCCCTGTGGTGGACACAGCAGGTAGCTCGATGTAGTTTTGCCCTAAAACAAACAAATTTGGTAAATATATTTATTTATGAAGGAAAATTGCATTGCTTATATACACGGTTAAAAATAACCATGAACGTGTGAATAAGAAGAGAAAACTAAGAGCTTTCGTTAGGATACAGACACGGAACCAATTCAACAGCATTGTAGCCTACTCGAAAAACAAAGAAAGCATTACAAATAGGAAAAACAGCTGTGAAAAATATCTTTGATTTTAGTTATACTTGTGTGTGGGATTGTAGTAAGTCATCTGGTATTTGTTCTGATAGTAAACCAGTAAAAAAAAAAATATATAATATTAATGGGCTTTTCACATTTTTCATTCTTCCTTCCACGCTTTTAAATAAATATATGACCTTTATAACTAACCCTAATGTGGCTGAACTATTAAGTTAGTAGTTTCAATTGTAAATAATTAACCAGATGGCAAAGCAAGTACAAGAAACTCGAGTTTCATTTGTTATGATACTTTGTTATATAATTCAGTAATACTTTGAAAGTAATCTGTTGATCGTGACGTCAGGTTTCTTTGGCGACGTCGTTATCATTGTTCTTCACTTCTGTGTTTGTACTGTTTTGAAGAAGACCTCTTTACTGCTTATGAAATAAGTTGATTTATCATTTTTACTTATAAGTACTACATTGATTAAACTCATAGAACACCTCGTACCCTCTTTCGTATTTGTGTGCGGACTACATTTACCTTTAAGACCTTCAAACGCTTAATTCTGAATGACTTGGTGGATTTATTAAGTTTGTAACAATAATTGTGACCTGATAGCATATCGATCGCCATTCGTATTTTTTGGCAGTATTTCACAGTGGCGACAGTCCTGATGACGTCGTTTTATTATGATTTGTGATTCAGACAATCAGTTTAATCTCTCCAGCAAACTTTAATTTGAAAAAAAAGTGTCTTAAAGAACTATAAGTAAGCTCTATAGTCCTTTAAAGCTGCTTTACCTTGCGATGTGTGTGTGTGTGTATAAATGTTAGTCGTTATACAGACTAGTCATCCTGATGTCTCAGTTATAATTTCCCTTCTGAGTTAGCACAAGTGTTGTTCGTCTTTCAAAGTTCGAAGAAGACCACGACATCATTTGGTCTATCTGTGGATACGGAGATGGCTCAGGAG